CTAGAGACTCGTCGAGCATCATATCTTTCTTCAAGGCTTTTCGTAAAGAACTCTGACCATCGGGTCGGTGGTCTTCCTGCAACACGTTTGAAATCCTGAGGAATCCAGTCACTAACGGCTCTTGTCTATCGGTTGTCATTCATACGCATTACGTCTCCGGCTCACGTTATCTTCGACTGTTTGGAGTATAGAACGGCATCTTTGATTTTTTTATCGTTGACGCAGATCGGAGCTTCGGATTCCATCCCTTACTTGTGTGGAACGGGATACTCCCAGCACCGCCCTTTCGACTGCGCGTTCGATAACGCTAAGTGATCTTTCATCCTGCTTACGCAGCGATCAGATTTCTGACGCACGTTAGGGCGGGAAGTACCGCTGAGTCGAAAAGATGGGCACGGAATCGGGTGTTCTTTGTCCTCTTCACCACATCCTCGATGCTCTTGGAAGCTCCCCAGGCCCCTCGTTTCCTTCTGCTCAACTCTGGAGCTAAGTCGTTCATTGCATTGATTTCCCCATCTAGGTAGACATAACTGGAGAATTCGGAAATATTCCTTCCGCTGAGCGTGAGCGAGGCATATGAAACCGGTCCGTTCCTCATGAACATCGTTTTTGTAAGATTTAGTCAGTTTTTATTTTTTTTAGACGATTTAGTAAGACCAATCTTTCCACAGGCTTTATCAAAGTCGGCAAGCATACGCTTGGCTAATCTTTGGTGTTATAAGGACGATGTCACCAGCAAAGCCAAGATAGTGTAACTGCCGACCGTCGATTTTCACTCCCATATTATCCCATTCCAATGTTCGCATGAGGTTGTTCTGGAAGATGGTGGTAAATAATTTTGGCGAGATAGTATCGCCTTGTCTAACTCCTCTTTTGACGTCAATATTAATATCGTTGTAGAATAGTGATTTCTTAATTGTGAAATTTTTGTACAGCTCACGGAGAATCTTTATATACTGAGTAGGGACTCCTTGACTATCAAGGGCTTCCAAGACTGCTTCTATCTTTATCTGAATCAAAGGCCTTCTATAAATCGATAAAAGTGATGCAGAGCGGTTTTTTGTACTCTCACGATACTTCAATGAGCCTTGTTACCGTGTGATCCAGATATGGTCCATCGTACCAAATCCTTTTCGAAACCCTGCTTGCTCACATGGCTGTCCTTGGTCTAGTGTTCTGTCAATCCTGTTTAGGATGAACCAAGTGAAAAATTTGTAGACGACAGACAGCAAGCAGATTGGGCGATAGTTGTCGATATTGTGCACGTCGCACTTCTTGAACAATAACGTGGTCTTCCTGGTTTTCCACTAAGTACGGACCTTGCATTCAGACAGATAAAGTGTGAAGAGCCGAGCCAGTGTGTTTACGAGGACTGGCGGAAGATTTTTCAGGTGTTCTGGTTTTATCCTGTCAGAACTTGATGCTGTTCCATTTTTCACCGACGAAATGGCATGTCGGATTTTGGAAGGGAGAACCGGTGGTACAGCATATCCATTTTCCTTTATTTCATACGACGGAAGGTGGACGTGGTTATCGAAGAGATCCGAGTAATATTCGTGAATGATTTCCTCCATTGCCTTTCTGGACGCTGGAACTGTTTCATCTAGGCGCCGGAATGCAATCATTTTGGTCTTGTAATTGGCGAAGCTTCGGTGTGCTTTGCAAATGCTTTTTCCAGCCTCTGCAAGTTCGGCCATTACTGCTGCTCTCCTCTCTTTAAGATGTTCTTTCTTTGCCTGTCTGCATTGTTTTGCAAGTTCGGACGTTAGTTCGCAGTTGCCTGTAGCTCGTGCGGTTCCACGCTAGCCTATCAGCGCGAGTGTTTCTGGAGACAGACGTCTCTTGGTGACTTTCGAATTCTCAGCTTTCATAGCGCTAACGTGAAGATGTTGAATGAGCCGATCGTATTCTTCGCCGATGTTATCGAGAACGGCATCTTCCCAACAGCCGACTAATGAATTGAATAAGCTCCAGTTTACGGTGGTTCTCGGACTTCGGTTTTTGAATTTAGTGGCTTTTCCTGCTTTCCGCGAGGAATAGATTTTTGCACGAAGGAAATGGTGGACCGATCCCGTGTAAAATTTTGGGATAACAGCGACATCGGTTAGGCAAAACCTTCTATTTACTATGATGTGGTCCATTTCTTTATGGTACCCTCCATTACGAGACTCCCACGTCCAGCGTTGAGGGTGGGCTTCTGGAATTGCGCGTTATCATGGATGGACTTGGTCGCCGTGATAAACTCAGATAGCCGTTCATCCTGCTCGTTCCATTCTAATCCGTGGGTCTCAATGTGACATTCTTCAGACGTTCTTCTTGGTCCAATCTTGGCGTTGAAATCTCTAGTGATGATTTTGAAGAATGTATGGTCTTCTCTGCAGAACTTCTCCAAGCCCACATAGAACGCTTCGACTTCGTCTTCGTCATAGTTTGATGTCGGCGCGTAAACGACGAAAATTGTCAAAGCCGGTATTGGTCCACACCTTTTTAATCGTAAATGTCTGATTGGGGTTGTTAGTTGTTCGAATGAATCGATGTTCATGGACAAACTCGTATTGACGAGAACGCCGACGTCGCCGACTCCTCTACTGTCGCACGTTCCGAGGAGCAGTTCTTCTCCGGTGTAATTGATGGCGTAAAATGGATGGTGTCTTGCCGTCTCGGCCAGGCCGATGACGTCGTACTTTATCCTTCTTTCTTACACGAGCAAGTCTTCTATTGAGGACTCGGATACAAGTTTACGTGCATTGTAGGTACAGATTGTCACCATAGTTCTTTGAAATCCAGGCAGCTTCCATTGGCCCTGAGATTTTAGCAGCCTCTCCGTACTCGTCTTATCCAACGCTGCGAAAGTGGGGGCTCTTTCGGGGTCAGGGAAATGAGGCCCATTTTTTTTACTGTGTTTATCATTTTGATACCGACGTATACCTTGCTGGGCTATGAACGTGGGGCTGCGTATACTAACGGGTAGCTTGCCAGGCTCTCCCAGAGTGGATATGTGGCGAGCTTATTCGTTGGAGGCGACTTCTAACCGCCTCCCATATACTTCGTTGTCACTTGATTGCAGGCTTTTGGCCTAACTGGCTCGTAGAACACACACTGGTGCATGAATACGCCTCGTAAATACAGAAAGAATGTGCGATATCGGCGCAGCAGAAATAGGGAGACCATGCCCTGTATCCACCTGCGTGTCAGGGAAGCAAAGGTCTCTTTTGGTCCGCGATTAACCCCTATCCACGACCTGGGGACAAGCCACGTAGCCTCGCCACTAACCGGCTCGAGATTTAGCGAGATGGCATCGCCTTGCCTAACTCCTCTTTTGGCGTCAATGTTAATATCGTTGTAGAATGAGATATCTTGGTTGTAAAATTTTTGTACAGCTCACGAGGAATTCGCTGATACAACTGGCAGATAAATGAAGACTCAACCGAGAAATTCACCCTGCTTGTCCAAGGACTTAAAACACGTGGCATACTTGCCTCAGTTCCTCAAATAAGAAGTTCAGACCGCATCTCCATTACCACTAATGAATTGCTTGCAAAGAGGCCACTGAAGCTTGGTCCTACAGCAACACTAATAAAACGACGGCTGATTGCAAATGCCAGCTATGGAAGGTCTTTGCAGGACGACTTACATCGGTCCTAGAGGAATCTCGATGTAGGAGATGGACTCCCTGTTTTTGCCACCCCGATTTGGTTCACACCTGCCGTGATTATGCGAACGTATTCATACATGTATGCGTGGATGTGTTCTCGTTTATGCGGATTGTATTCTACGGGTGAGTTCCGCCAAAAGCCTGTAATGAAGTAACAGGGAAGTGTATGGGAGGCGATTAGGAGTCGCCTCCAACAAATAAGCTTCCCCGTTTACTATGAGAGTGATTGGCAAATCACCCGTAAATAAACCAAGCCCCCACGTTTAAAGGTTAGGAAGATATACGTGGATATAAAGCGATGAACACAAAATGGAAACGCCTTATTTCTTTGAATGAAAAAGAGCCATCGATACTACAGCTTGGGTAGGACAAATACGGAGAGTTTGCTAAAATCTCAGCGCCACTCTTGGCTGCCTAAATCTGGAAGGACTAAGGTGACGATGTGCACCTACAATGTACGCGCACTTGCATCTGAATCCTCTATAGAGGACTTGATCATGTAGGCAACAAGGATAAACTACGACCTCATCGGATTGGATGAAATAGAAAGACATTAAACGCTGTTTATGACACTGGAGAACTGTTCCTCGGAACAAGAGACAATGAAGGGTTACAGACAGCGTTCTGGGCAACACGAGTTTGGCCATGATCATCGATTCACTCGATTAGCTAACAGCTGGAATCAAACGTCTACGATTGAAGAGATGTGGGTCACTAGCAGCTTTACAATCTTCGTCGTTTACGCATTGACATCATACGGGCCGTTCAACTATCGAAGTACGTAACACCTCGGTGAGCCGACCTCATTTTCTACGTGATTCAAAGTTTTCCATGTCTTTCAGTAAGCTTTAGAAAAGGAAGTTTTAGGGAACAATCAGAACTATATAGTCACTACCACCGCTTAAGAAATTCTCCATAACCTAAGCAGTTGGTTACAGCACTAGTAACGCCTTATTCGAATTTCGGCCGTCAAGTAGGGTGTTAGGTGTGATGGAGAATGGGATACGCCAAAATGTTAATGTGACATCTTATTCAAGATCTTGTTATACTTCGGTGGGAATCTTTATTATCTAGTAAGTTGGAAGGTCAAATTTATCATCAGTAAACTAGTATATTGTTTCTTTGTGCTCAAAATCCAAGCAGTGTTTGAATTTTGGTAGTTCCTAATATTTTCCTGATTAGCATGACGCATTTTTCAAGTGGCAACTTTTTTAGGAGTTTCGTTCTAAGCTCTATATTTTTGAAGGATTCTTATATCAAGTGTTCACAGTACTCATTAGTAGATCTCTCTGCTTACATTTCCCACCAACGCCCTCACTTTTTGGTCGAGATAAACTGTTTTCAGTTACGACTCCATCTTCGGAGATGGATGATCAGCAAACACCAGCACCTGCTCCGAGTGGGTTCAGATCTGACGAGTCGGTGGCGTTGCGTAACTGGCAACTCGCTAATGGAGTGGTTATCATGGATTCTGCCTACGAGTATGACGAAGTGGAACAGAATGAGATGCGCTCTGCAAAGCCCTGGCAGAAGGATCCTTACTACTTCAAGGAGGTGGGTGATCCCTATACAACTTCGATTCTCTTACTCTTTCTTGTGTTAGATGTGTCATATCTTTCTATTCATCTCCGCCTTCTCTTCTTGTCCACGTCGACATTGAATCACCACTTTTAGAACGTAGAGTGTTCATGATTAATTATGTTAATTGTCTTCGAAAGGATCGTTGTCGTCTAGCCGATGTATTAGAAACATACTACATATGATTAAAGGATAAAGCATGAAGCTCTCGGCGTTGATCAATCCGTGAGGGATGTGCCATGCATTCGACCTCATTAAGCATCGTTTGGAGGTGATTGAATGAATATCTGGCCTTTACAATGACTCGCGATGGGCTACCGGTGCACCGAGCAAGTCCTGCTATCCTCGCAGACATGTATGATACCAATTTGCCGGCCCTGGGGGATGGAGGGCTTAGTGAGCCTGGGGCGCAGGGATCGACCCCATGTGAATTGTGGGGCGCTTCCGACCAGTGCGCTACACGGGCTCTACATATTGTTGTATCTATATATTTATTCTTACGAACTGCTCTTGTTGAGTTAATGCGAGGTTGGTATAAGCTGTCGTAGTCGTTGTTGTTGTTGTTGTTGTTCGATGGGCTTACGTTTCGGCGATTTCGCCCTCCTCAGAGCCGTGCTGTTGCGAGTAGGACTCATTCTAGTCCCACTGGTTACATATCGTGGTTTTCAGTGCCCATCTTAGCGAGGAGTCGTACGCCACCACCTCTTCCTTGTAAGAAAATAATCTCACTTGACTGGTAGTTTACTCGTTAACAAGACTTTCCTTCTTTGCAGCGCTAGATTAGACAAGCTAGAGGTTTCATAAGTCGTCAGCGTAGACATTTGGATCGAAAGGATATTTTCCACCTTACGATAACGTTATTGCTAGAATGGCACTGATTTCCGACAGTTGGTTACTCCTTACTGACCATGAAGACGAAAATGTCGAATTTCTTTCCTAGCTTAGGAGATCCTGTTGGGGTTGAATACCGCTGTACATAGGTGCTCGACGATCAAGAATGTTCGGAACAAACGAGACATATTGCATAAATATTGGTTCATATTCCATCTTTGTCGCGGTTAACGAGGTAACCAAAAAGTAACAGGACCAGTTTTCCGGTTTTCCATTTTTCACCCTATTATAGTATAATGTTTTGATTTCCATAGTAGCAAACTCTTCCCTTGCCAACGTCTATCTTCAGTAGGCTCTTCTTTATTCATAAATCCCTAGAACTACTGTTGTTTTGTTGTGTGAACTGATTTGCGGCTGGCTATTTGTTGGACAAATGGGAATGATTTCGGGATAATTAGAGTAGTTGAGGAGTTAGATACTTTACGTACTTATTGCAGTAGTAGGAAATATATTTTGTATACAATTTCATGTCAGCTGTGTTACTTTAAGGCTATATTTAACTTTTATGCAGCTTTATGCAGTACTATCTCCATCTCTTATGCACCCTCCCTACGGTTTACCGCCTTGTCGTGGGTGGGAGGTGTTTCTGGGAGTCGGACTGCGATGAACAGCGGGGATTCATCCCCTGGCAGGGTGTCCCAAACTGAGAAAGAGTCCGGCGTTTCCATCAGGAAGCCTAAGAGTAAACCAATATCAGGATCCGTCGCCGTCCTGGTATCAAAGTCGCATGGTGGTAAATCTCCCTCTGATCCACAAGGGCTGCGAGTGCCCGTGGTGGTGAAGACTTGGGGCAGACTTTGGCCAGGCTGACTTCGAGATTCCAGGGAACCACAATAGCTTAACCAGCAAATCTCCAAAAAATAGTGATTATGCTGGGGCCTGCACAACAAGTGAGGACGGGCCATTCAAGTATCAAGTAAGTAAGTTATGCAGTATTCTGTCGATTTCAAACTTGTTTAGAGTTTGGACACTCAACAAATTAGGAACTGGTTTTACGTTTTTAGAGCTTCCAGCGCAAAAGTGGCCGGCACCAAAATGGGCGATCCATTGGGGAATAACATCATGTCGTACTGGACGAAATTTCGCTTATTCAATTGATTTGGTGTTCAAAATATGAACCTCAACGAGAAAGGCTTTAGGACACTTTTCATGGTCTCAAGCCAATCGGAATTCCATCTTAAAGGGTTACGATAATTGCACCTGCTTGACGACGATCTGTGGATTCCTGTTTCTTTTTCTGTTAGTAAAGTTCGCTGTGAGCTGGCTTCTCTTGATTCAACCTTGAAAGACAGTTAGAAGTCGGTTGTCATATTCAAATCGGGTGGATGAAAATCGTTGCACAAGGTTGTGGATGGGTTTACAACTCTACTTTTTCCAGCAGTATAGAAACGTATTATGACGTTGCCTTTTTTCATAATTAACAACTTTAACTGAATGAAGATATTCTCAAGGTGGTGAGAATCTTTCCGCGCTAGTATTTTGCTCGTCACGTTTTTTTTCTTTTTTTCTTATTTGTCAATGTTTCTCCGCTATTCTGTTGACTACTTGCTTACTTACTGCTTGGATATTTGGATGGCCCGTCTTCACTGGTTGTGCGGACCCCAACGTAATTTCCATTTTTTTCGGAGTTTTGCTGGTCTACCTATTGTTGTTTACTGGAGTCCCGAGGTTCTGTTGACTACTACCACTTTAATCTCGCTTTTCAACGAAATCGTTCTTAGAAAAACGTTTTAGGTAAAAATTTCTGCTGTGGCGTTATTAAAAATGGTTACTCATTCTAAGCGAGGTGGCAATTTAGAGGTGAGGTGCCATCTATTTTGCTTTTGTATTTCTTCTTCCCATGGATATCTACTTTCGAGGTAATGGGACTTATGCAAGGTCGAGTGGATGGAAATGCTTTCATTATTATGGACACATTTGCTTTACCGGTAGAGGGAACTGAGACAAGGTCTGTATGAGTAATTGTAATGAATTGTTTTTCATTTTCAAATAAGCACGTGTATCCAGTGAACGAATGCAAGACTTCAGTAATAGACGCGTTTTTTTTAATGTAGGATTTCTTTATCCTGTCAGGGTGAACGCACAAGCACAGGCCTATGAATACATGTCGGTTTATACAGATCTCTGCGAAGCTGAAGGCAAGAAAGAGAAGGTTCGTGGATTTCGAATCATTTTTAATGTTGCTCTTTTCTCATTGTTTTATTGAGCCTTTAAGTTCTTGCCTTTGATAGTCATTTCTTTTTTTCTTCAGATAAAAACAGTTGTGGAGATGTAACCGATTAGCTTTCTTCAATGCAATAGAGTCTACATTTTTTGTGTAGTGGAATCATTTTTCGCAACACTTCATTTTGTTTACAGGTTGTTGGCTGGTACCATTCACATCCTGGCTACGGTTGTTGGCTTTCAGGGATCGACGTTGCAACGCAAGCATTGAATCAACAATTTCAAGAGCCGTGGGTTGCTATAGTTGTCGATCCTCTACGAACAATGAGTGCTGGCAAAGTGGGTTTGTGGAGTGGGTATTGTTACCAAGCAGTTTTACCATTTCTCAGTGCTCAGGTAGAAATTGGAGCCTTCCGTACATATCCGCAAGGTTACCAACCACCAGTGGAAGAGAGCCCTTCGGAGTATCAATCAATTCCGTTGAGTAAAATTGAAGATTTTGGTGTACACTGCAAGCAGTACTACTCTTTGGATGTGAATTTCTTCAAATCTGAGTTAGGTATGTTTTTTGGTCCTTGGAGTTATGAGTAATGGATTACAAATTCCAGATTCTTACATTTTGTCGGCTTTGTGGAATACGTATTGGCTCGATACATTGAGCAGCTCGCCGTTGTTGACCAATGCAGGGTACATTAGTAACCAGATTAATGACTTAAGTATGAAATTGAAGCAGGTATATTTGTATTGATATTTTCTACACAAGTTAGTGCCTGCTATACCTTCATTGGTCAATTAGCTAATCAACAGGCTTCACAGGTGGAAAAGAGATGGGCTCGTTCTGATCGCGCGAACGATGTTATCGAGCAATTGGACAAGGTTAGGTTGAAGTTTTCTCCTCTGTTTGCATATTAAATGGGGATTTGGAGGGAGCCGAAATAATTCTATAAATTCATTGCTATGAATACGTCCAACCAGCCTGCTTATTTGTAGCACCTTGTTATTTATGTGTTAGAATGCAATGTTTGAGTTTTTTTGTGAATTTTTTTGTACAGTTTTTTTAGGCTGTAAAGGACGCGCACACTGTATGCGGTGAATTGTCTTGTGGTGTGCTGATGCAGCATCTAAAACGGGCTATGTTCAATCGTGGTGAAACTTATGACCCGAATGCAGAGATGAGAGTTGACGACGAGCCTATTCCTGACATAGTTGCGGACGACGTAGTACCTCCTGCTTCGGTTGAAGACGTGGAATTTTATGACGAAATTGTTTTGGTTGAAGCTGTTAACTAGTGTCAGTGGTCTGGTCTGGGTTATATTTCTTTTTCTTGCTTATTTGGTTTCATAGAACTAAGAAGTTTAGGAAGATGTAAGATGGCAGTGTGTTACTTTTCGCTTATATCAATGCACAAATTATTTTTAACATGCGAAGAAGTTAATAGACTTGTGAATAGAACTGAAATCATTGGAAACACTACGTGCACATTGTTTAACCCTTTAGTGAGCATATGCTTTGGTTTCAATATAAGCGTTAATGGGCGATATTGATTTCGGTGCGCACGATCTTCGCTGGTTCATTTGGCCGCACAGAGCCCTTATGTCACGCTTTTTGTAATCAATAGATAGCTTTTCGAATACAGATTTGTGCTGGGGTCCTTTTCGAAAGAAGAGGTACTCAATGCACAATAAGTGGCGAAAAACAATGTCGGATGAGTTGGCTTATTTACTTGAATTAAGCTGTTGGTACTAGCATGTTTATTATGATCAGAGACTAGAACTTGGAACTTGTGTGCATTTCGTCGTCACGAAGGAAAGATCACTGAGGGAACTTGTATGCACGTATTCGTGGTTGACAGAAGGTCCGTGCGTTCTCAAAGTGCGCATCTACCAATTCGTGAACTATTTCATTGCACAGAGAATACATTTACAGCTCTTACCACACATTTCCATCGCCCAGAAATTTGTTGCTTATTCTGCTTGTGCTTTATTCTTCCGTCGTTCTTATTCTGCGTTGTTATCCACAGCCTTCTGACCAATTTCGACTGGATGCTCTCCTTTGGTAGCCCGATCCTGTTCTTTCTGCATGTTCAGGTCAAGTGCGTATTGTTTTGAAATCGACTCTCAGCAGAGGAAATGCTCGTATACTAGTTATCATTGTAGAAGTGTACGTATTCATGAGCAAATCGTCGTTGAGCATCACCACCACTGTATCTGCGAGGCATTTGGTCTGTCTGGCATTTTTTTTTGGGACTACGTACATCATCGTTTTGTAGGCACGCTTTCTTTCACCGTGCCGTTTGAAGAGCTTCAATCTGTATATGAGCCTTTCGTAAGTGTCGTATTGGCGAAGTACAACTTTTCCACTAGATGATATAACCTCGTCAATGCATAAAGCCTTGCGTGGTTATATACATCGTTTCAATCTTAACCCTTTATTTACTGCCTTTTTTTTTAGTGGCAGAGTAGGTTGCGAAATATAACTCGTATATAATACTGAGATATTTGCAAAAGTCCGGACCGCAGGTGTATGCGGCGGGGAACGAACCCGCGCTGTTGTCCTTACCGGGGAGCAGCGCACTTCACCACCACACCATCCGGGTCCTTCGTTTTGCTTGTTTCTCAGGGGGTTTAAAAGGGTTAAGATTGTGATTATAACAAAGTCTCAGCTTAACTGAGTTCAATACCGATTTGGGCTCTCCGGATCAATCCCGTTGATTGTTGATGGCAAAAGATCAATAGAACTAGCTGAGAGACAGGCAAAACGAAGGACCCGGATGGTGTGGTGGTGAAGTGCACTACTCCCCGGAAATGACAATAGCGCTTGTTCGTTCCCCACCGCATACACCTGCGGTCAGGAGTTTTGCAAATATCTCAGCATTATATACGAGTTACATCATTTCAATTCTTAATAATGAGTGCTATCAGTCGGTTCGTCATGTATTAGTTATCACTTCCATCATAATTCGAGTTGTCAGCGAAATGCAAGTGAGCTAAGATCTTTTAGAATTTAGCCATTGTCACACCTTATACGGTTTTTTCCAAAGGCGGGTTGATTGCTCCAAAAATGTTTTCGGCTTGGCAATTCGACTTTATCAATTTGAAGGCATAGCACAACGAATTTTTTCACCTCTTCGGCGGATGTGTTTTCCCATACAGGATCTTATTGGCCGTAAATACTAGTCTCTTGTAAAAAAGCTACCAAATATCAGTTGTGAACAATTCGTAGAAATTGGCTAAGCTTGAAGATTTGCGAAACGTATTGAATACCTATCTCATAGAAAGAAACTACTCATAGAAATCGACCCTGAAGCAGCCGAAAACTGCTAGAACGTCGGCTTTTGTGGATAAACAGCATAGTAACATCCTCGTCTGTTTATTAGGGAAACAGCGAGTAATTGATCAATGCTGAGGTTAACAGAAAGTCGGTCTTGTAAACTACTGCAAGTCATTTGTGTTCAAAGATGACTTACGGAAATCATAAGGAATCAGGAAAAAGGGCTTTGAAGATAAAGAAAAATGGACTACCAAATCTCAAGGCTACTCACAGCCTTTATTAGACGAATGTGAAACCGTATAGATTTGACGAACTATACTGATGAGCGGTATTTGTTCATCTACTCGCAATAACAAACATCTTGGTCGCTTTCGCTAGTGGCTGGTGAGACCTTTGGTGTAACGCATTGGAAAAGTGGAGCTATTGACAGAGACTATAGGTTGTTTAAAGCGCTTTTTGTACCTGTCATCTTTATGGGCTCAGCATAGTAGAGAAGCTGTGAGGTCAAAATGCTCATCACAACCCACCAACGAAGTCCCTCATCCATTAATTGGTGCTAAACTTTTCTTGAGAAGATAAAAAGGTCCGTCTGATACATCAGCAGGTCTTCATAGGTTATTGCTTAGGTCAGATATGCATTCCGTCATCTCTACGACCTCTAGCGCGGTGGAATTCGTGGGCCGTCTTTGAGAGATTCCTCAGCGCTGAGCGCGTTGCTTCATTTTTATCACGTCATCGTTTTATCTCTTTTAGAAGAAATATGTTCAGTGAGCTAAAAATTTGAAATCTGATAGCAATAATACTTGGTTACTTGAACACTTGGATGTCCTGCTTTTAGTGGTGATGCGAGCACCAGCATGATTTTCATTCGTTTCGTCCATCGTTGGCTTGCCTTAAACATGGTGAATTACACGACGCCCATTCCGAATTCCTAGAATTGGTTCCATTTCTCCATACAGATTACTGACGTTAGCCAGAAGCATGTCCGCGCATCGTTTGGGTGGTTTCCAAGAGGACGCTTGCATTCTCCTAAAGTCCACTCCACTGTAGTTTTTGTCCATCTGTCATGTGTTCTAATTACGTGACCGTCCTATCAGTGTTTCGCTATTGATTTAAATTCTCCTGGATCCAGAAGATTGGATAGGTTTCGAGGATCTGAGCTGCGCATTCCGGCTAGACGTTTTGAGTGCTGGTTAAATTTCAGAAGACATCGTTAAAGTGATCCATGGGTGGTGCGCAGATTTCTAGACGTGGTTGATGTATCAGACCACGTTTCTGATGCATAACAGAGCAATGGGAGTACAGCTGAATCGAAAGCGTAAGCGCGTCGTTTTCGATCCATTAGTTGGTCGGTTGCCTCATAGAGTGGCCCGAATGCGACCCAAGCTGCTTCGTATAATTTTTCATTGAAGTTGTTCACCATGTCTATTGGACGTCCAAGGTACACGCTCGAGATGGTTTCTGTAAACAAAGAACCATACAGGTCGATTTGTTCATCTTCACACTGTGGGCTTTTCATGAACTGGGTTTTCGCCCTATTCATGTGCAGTCCAATCTTTTTTCCCTCTTTGTTGAGCTCATTGAGCATCGTCTGTGCTTCACTAGTAGTCGAAAAGATGATGTCATCCGCGAAACGGAGATTTGATAGGGATTTTCCATCAGTACGTATGCTGTTCTTATCCCAATCGAGTTACTGCATTATACACTGAAGTGCAGCAGTGAGTAGCTTTTGCACTATTATGTCGCCTTGTCTAACCTGTTTATGTTTATGGGTATAGTAAGAGGTCGATGGAGAAGTGGAGAAGCTGTATCTTCGTAGTCAGACAGAGTTCTTTTGTACGACTGGTCTACTCCATGGTCGACCAGTGCTGACAGAATTGCAGTCGTTTTGACGCAGTTAAACACTTTCTCATAGTCGATAAAGGTTAGGACTAGGGCAGGTGGTATTTCCGACAAATTTCTATTACCTTGGACACGGTTTTGACGTGGTCCATGCAGCAGAACCCCTGCAAGAATCCTGTTTGCTCAAATTGTTGTACCTCATCCAAGGTCTTCGATATACGCGAAGGGGTAATCTTCGTGAACAGATTGTAGAGTACACTCAAGAAGCGTATTGGAAAGTAGTTACGAAGGTACCTTCGATCACTCTTTCGAGAAGGATGATCATGCTCGATGTTTTCCGCTAGTCTAGGGTCATCTTTTTCTGAAAGTAAGATGTCATGTGGGTTATGAGAAGTACATGCAATTTGCATACTGTAGGGTCTTGGAACTGTATTTCTCTTCATGCTTTCTATAGAAATTCGCACTACGTAGGGTGGAATCTATGGCGGTTTCTAACCAATGGGGATGTCGGTGCGCGAGATAGGGAATGTGGGGCCGAAAAAATTGGTTAAGAATCTTCCCGTTATCAATTCCGTATCGTGGGGGGATGTAGTCCTTTATTCGTTCATCAGGGCGGGTAGCGGAACATTATAAGACTGCATCGCTTTTCAGTTGCTTCGAATAATTTTTTCTGCCTATACCGATGTGCTCCTGAAAAGATCTACAGCTGACATTTATTACCAGCCGTCTTACTTGTACTTCAGTAGGATCAAGCTTCAGTGTCCCCTTTTGGAGCAATTCGTCAGTGGTAATGGAGATGCGCTCTGAACTTCTTGTTTTAGGAACTCAGGCGAGTTCGACACAGGTTTTAAGTCCTCCGACAAGCAGCGTATAATCCTCGGTCAGATCTTCATTTATCCACTAGTCATGTGGGAACAGAATTTTATTGGGAGTACAGAGTAGCATTCATATACGACTTGTTCCATTTTCCTTGGACGATGACAGGAGTCCTTTTCCAGCATATAGCTGAATCGATTTTTTCGGGGAGAAGGCGATAGGGGAAATTCGAAGGTTTTCATGGATGATGGATTCGATGGAACGACTGGAATGTAAGAAAAGCTGGGAACTGAACGGTAAATGCGAGTGACGGGTCGTCTGAAATAAGAAACAAAAATACCTGCTCGCTGGTAATCATAAG